CAGGATACAAGCATGCGTCTGGACACAAGCATGCGACCGGGTGCAAGCATGCATCCGGACACAAGCATGCGTCCGGACACAAGCATGCGTCCGGACACAAGCATGCGTCCGGACACAAGCATGCGTCCGGACACAAGCATGCGTCCGGACACAAGCATGCGACCGGACACAAGCATGCGTCCAGACACAAGCATGCGACCGGACACAAGCATGCATCCGGACACAAGCATGCGTCCGGACACAAGCATGCGTCCGGACACAAGCATGCGTTTGGACATAAGCATGGGACTGGGTGCAAGCATGCGTCCGGACATAAGCATGCGTCCGGACATAAGCATGAGTCCGGACACAAGCATGCGACCGGACACAAGCATGCGTCCGGACAAAAGCATGCGACCGGACACAAGCATGCGTCCGGACACAAGCATGCGTCCGGACACAAGCATGCGTCCGGACACAAGCATGCGTCCGGACACAAGCATGCGTCCGGACACAAGCATGCGTCTGGACACAAGCATGCGTCCGGACACAAGCATGCGTCCGGACACAAGCATGCGTCCGGACACAAGCATGCGTCCGGACCCAAGCATGCGTCCGGACACAAGCATGCGTCCGGGCACAAGCATGCGTCCGGACACAAGCATGCGACCGGACACAAGCATGCGTCCGGACACAGGCATGCGTCCGGACACAGGCATGCGACCGAACACAGGCATGCGACCGGACACAAGCATGCGTCCGGACACAAGCATGCGTCCGGACACAAGCATGCGACCGGACACAAGCATGCGTCCGGACACAAGCATGCGACCGGACACAAGCATGCTACCGGACACAAGCATGCGTCCGGACACAAGCATGCGTCCGGACACAAGCATGCGTCCGGACACAAGCATGCCTGCGGACACAAGCATGCGTCCGGACACAAGCATGCGTCCGGACACAAGAATGCGTCCGGGCGCAAGCATGCGACCGGGCGCAAGCATGCGTGCGGACACAAGCATGCGTCCGGACACAAGCATGCGTCCGGACACAAGCGTGCGTCCGGACACAAGCATGCGACCGGACACAAGCATGCGTCCGGACACAAGCATGCGACCGGACACAAGCATGCGTCCGGACACAAGCATGCGACCGGACACAAGCATGCGTCCGGACACAAGCATGCGTCCGGACACAAGCATGCGTCCGGACACAAGCATGCGTCCGGACACAAGCATGCGTCCGGACACAAGCATGCGACCGGGTGCAAGCATGCGTCCGGACACAAGCATGCGTCCGGACACAAGCATGCGACCGGACACAAGCATGCGACCGGACACAAGCATGCGTCCGGACACAAGCATGCGACCGGACACAAGCATGCGTCCGGACACAAGAACCGTCCGGACACAAGCATGCGACCGGACACAAGCATGCGTCCAGACACAAGCATGCGACCGGACACAAGCATGCATCCGGACACAAGCATGCGTCCGGACACAAGCATGCGTCCGGACACAAGCATGCGTCTGGACATAAGCATGCGACTGGGTGCAAGCATGCGTCCGGACATAAGCATGCGTCCGGACATAAGCATGAGTCCGGACACAAGCATGCGACCGGACACAAGCATGCGTCCGGACAAAAGCATGCGACCGGACACAAGCATGCGTCCGGACACAAGCATGCGTCCGGACACAAGCATGCGTCCGGACACAAGCATGCGTCCGGACACAAGCATGCGTCCGGACACAAGCATGCGTCTGGACACAAGCATGCGTCCGGACACAAGCATGCGTCCGGACACAAGCATGCGTCCGGACACAAGCATGCGTCCGGACACAAGCATGCGTCCGGACCCAAGCATGCGTCCGGACACAAGCATGCGTCCGGGCACAAGCATGCGTCCGGACACAAGCATGCGACCGGACACAAGCATGCGTCCGGACACAGGCATGCGTCCGGACACAGGCATGCGACCGAACACAGGCATGCGACCGGACACAAGCATGCGTCCGGACACAAGCATGCGTCCGGACACAAGCATGCGACCGGACACAAGCATGCGTCCGGACACAAGCATGCGACCGGACACAAGCATGCTACCGGACACAAGCATGCGTCCGGACACAAGCATGCGTCCGGACACAAGCATGCCTGCGGACACAAGCATGCGTCCGGACACAAGCATGCGTCCGGACACAAGAATGCGTCCGGGCGCAAGCATGCGACCGGGCGCAAGCATGCGTGCGGACACAAGCATGCGTCCGGACACAAGCATGCGTCCGGACACAAGCGTGCGTCTGGACACAAGCATGCGACCGGACACAAGCATGCGTCCGGACACAAGCATGCGACCGGACACAAGCATGCGTCCGGACACAAGCATGCGACCGGACACAAGCATGCGTCCGGACACAAGCATGCGTCCGGACACAAGCATGCGTCCGGACACAAGCATGCGTCCGGACACAAGCATGCGTCCGGACACAAGCATGCGACCGGGTGCAAGCATGCGTCCGGACACAAGCATGCGTCCGGACACAAGCATGCGACCGGGCACAAGCATGCGTCCGTACACAAGCATGCGTCCGGACACAAGCATGCGTCTGGACACAAGCATGCGACCGGACACAAGCATGCGTCCGGACACAAGCATGCGACCAGACACAAGCATGCGTCCGGACACAAGCATGCGACCGGACACAAGCATGCGTCCGGACACAAGCATGCGTCTGGACACAAGCATGCGTCCGGACACAAGCATGCGTCCGGACACAAGCATGCAACCGGGCGCAAGCATGCGTCTGGACACAAGCATGCGACCGGGCGCAAGCATGCGTCTGGACACAAGCATGCGACCGTGCGTAAGCATGCGTCCGGACACAAGCATGCGTCCAGACACAAGCATGCATCTGGACACAAGCATGCGTCCGATGCCTCCGTACACAAGCATGCGTCCAGAAACAAGCATGCGTCCAGACACAAGCATGCGTCCGGGCGCAAGCATGCGGTCGGGCGCAAGCATGCGTCCGGACACAAGCATGCGACCGGACACAAGCATGCGTCCGGACACAAGCATGCGACTGGGCACAAGCATGCGTCCGGGCACAAGCATGCGTCCGGACACAAGCATGCGTCCGGACACAAGCATGTGTCCGGACACAAGCATGCGTCCAGAAACAAGCATGCGTCCGGACACAAGCATGCGTCCGGGCGCAAGCATGCGGTCGGGCGCAAGCATGCGTCCGGACACAAGCATGCGACCGGACACAAGCATGCGTCCGGACACAAGCATGCGACCGGGCACAAGCATGCGTCCGGACACAAGCATGCGTCTGGACACAAGCATGCGTCCGGACACAAGCATGCGTCCAGAAACAAGCATGCGTCCGGACACAAGCATGCGTCCGGGCGCAAGCATGCGGTCGGGCGCAAGCATGCGTCCGGACACAAGCATGCAACCAGACACAAGCATGCTTGTGTCCTGACGCATGCTTGTTTCTGGACGCATGCTTGTGTCCTGACGCATGCTTGCACCCGGTCGTATGCTTGTGTCCAGACGCATGCTTGTGTCCGGACGCATGCTTGTGTCCGGACGCATGCTTGTGTCCGGACGCATGCTTGTGTCCGGACGCATGCTTGTGTCCGGACGCATGCTTGTGTCCAGACGCATGCTTGTGTGCGGACGCATGCTTGCACCCGGTCGCATGCTTGTGTCCAGACGCATGCTTGTGTCCGGTCGCATGCTTGTGTCCGGACGCATGCTTGTGTCCGGACGCATGCTTGTGTCCGGACGCATGCTTGTGTCCGGACGCATGCTTGTTTCTGGACGCATGCTTGCACCTGGTCGCATGCTTGTGTACGGACGCATGCTTGTGTCCGGACGCTGTGAGAATAAGCGAACAGGAATGAGATGAACTTGAAGTGAAATGAGTACAAGTAGTAAACCCTAGAATTGTGTACCCCCTATAGGCTAACCCACTGTAGCCTACACAAGCATAACATATATAATGTTTGACAGACGCATGCTTGTGTCCGGACGCATGCTTGTGTCCGGACGCATCCTTGTGTTCGGACGCATGCTTGTGTCCGGACGCATGCTTGTGTTCGGACGCATGCTTGTGTCCGGTCGCATGCTTGTGTCTCGACGCATGCTTGTGTCCGGACGAATGCTTGTGTCCGGACGCATGCTTGCGCCCGGTCGCATGCTTGTGTCCCGACCATGCTTGTGTCCCGACGCATGCTTGTGTCCGGACGCATGCTTGTGTCCGGACGCATGCTTGTGTCCGGACGCATGCTTGTGCCCGGACGCATGCTTGTGTCTGGACGCATGCTTGTGTCCGGACGCATGCTTGTGTCCGATCGCATGCTTGTGTCCGGACGCATGCTTGTGTCCGGACGCATGCTTGTGTCCGGTCGCATGCTTGTGTCCGGACGCATGCTTGTGTCCGGACGCATGCTTGTGTCCGTACGCATGCTTGTGTCCGGACGCATGCTTGTGTCCGGACGCATGCTTGTGTCCGGTCGCATGCTTGTGGCCGGACGCATGCTTGTGTCTGGACGCATGCTTGTGTCCGGACGCATGCTTGTGTCCAGACGCATGCTTGTGTCCAGACGCATGCTTGTGTCCGGACGCATGCTTGTGTCTGGTCGCATGCTTGTGTACGGAGGCATCAATCGCATGCTTGTGTCCAGATGCATGCTTGTGTCCAGACGCATGCTTGTGTCCGTATGCATGCTTGTGTCCGGACGCATGCTTGTGTCCGGACGCATGCTTGTGTCCGGACGCATGCTTGTGTCCGGACGCATGCTTGTGTCTGGACGCATGCTTGTGTCCGGACGCATGCTTGCACCCGGTCGCATGCTTGTGTCCGGACGCTTGCTTGTGTCCGGACGCATACTTGCACCCGGTCGCATGCTTGTGTCCGGACGCATGCTTGTGTCCGGACGCATGCTTGTGTCCGGACGCATGCTTGCGTCCGGACGCATGCTTGTGTCCGGACGCATGCTAGTGTCTAGTCGCATGCTTGTGGAGGGGTGATGGAAAGAGGGAGAATTGGGCGGGGTGATGGAAAGCGGGACAATGGAGCGGGATGATGGAAAGCGGTAGAATGGGGCGGGGTGATGGAAAGCGGGAGAATGGGGCGGGGTGATGGAAAGAGGGAGAATGGGGCCGGGTGATGGAAAGCGAGAGAATGGGGCGGGGTGATGGAAAGCGGGAGAATGGGGCGGGGTGATGGAAAGCGGGAGAATGGGGCGGGGTGATGGAAAGCGGGAGAATGGGGCGGGGTGATGGAAAGATGGAGAATGGGGCGGGGTGATGGAAAGCAGGAGAATGGGGCGGGGTGATGGAAAGCGGGAGAATGGGGCGGGGTGATGGAAAGCGGGAAAACAGGGTGGGGTGATGGAAAGAGGGAGAATGGGGCGGGGTGATGGAAAGCGGGAGAATGGGGCGGGGTGATGGAAAGCGGGAGAACAGGGTGGGGTGATGGAAAGAGGGAGAATGGGGCGGGGTGATGGAAAGCGGGTGAATGGGGCGGGGTTATGGAAAGAGGGAGAATGGGGCGGGGTGATGGAAAGCGGGAGAATGGGGCGGGTGGAGGAAAGAGGGAGAATGGGGCGGGGTGATGGAAAGAGGGAGAATGGGGCGGGGTGATGGAAAGCGGGAGAATGGGGCGGGGTGATGGAAAGCGGGAGAATGGGGCGGGGTTATGGAAAAAGGGAGAATGGGGAGGGGTGATGGAAAGAGGGAGAATTGGGCGGGGTGATGGAAAGTGGGACAATGGAGCGGGATGATGGAAAGCGGTAGAATGGGGCAGGGTGATGGAAAGAGGGAGAATGGGGCCGGGTGATGGAAAGCGAGAGAATGGGGCGGGGTGATGGAAAGCGGGAGAATGGGGCGGGGTGATGGAAAGCGGGAGAATGGGGCGGGGTGATGGAAAGCGGGAGAATGGGGCGGGGTGATGGAAAGATGGAGAATGGGGCGGGGTGATGGAAAGCAGGAGAATGGGGCGGGGTGATGGAAAGCGGGAGAATGGGGCGGGGTGATGGAAAGCGGGAGAACAGGGTGGGGTGATGGAAAGAGGGAGAATGGGGCGGGGTGATGGAAAGCGGGAGAATGGGGCGGGGTGATGGAAAGCGGGAGAACAGGGTGGGGTGATGGAAAGAGGGAGAATGGGGCGGGGTGATGGAAAGCGGGTGAATGGGGCGGGGTTATGGAAAGAGGGAGAATGGGGCGGGGTGATGGAAAGCGGGAGAATGGGGCGGGGTGATGGAAAGCGGGAGAATGGGGCGGGGTGATGGAAAGCGGGAGAACGGGGCGGGGTGATGGAAAGAGGGAGAATGGGGCGGGGTGATGGAAAGCGGGAGAATGGGGCGGGGTTATGGAAAGAGGGAGAATGGGGCGGGGTGATGGAAAGCGGGAGAATGGGGCGGGGTGATGGAAAGAGGGAGAATGGGGCGGGGTGATGGAAAGCGGGAGAATGGGGCGATGTTATGGAAAGAGGGAGAATGGGGCGGGGTGATGGAAAGAGGGAGAGTGGTGCGGGGTGATGGAAAGCGGGAGAATGGGGCGGGGTGATGGAAAGAGGGAGAATGGGGCAGGGTGATGGAAAGAGTGAGAATGGGGTGGGGTGATGGAAAGCGGGAGAATGGGGCGAGGTGTTGGAAAGCGGGAGAATGGGGCGGGGTGATGGAAAGCGGGAGAATGGGGCGAGGTGATAGAAAGCGGGAGAATGGGGCGGGGTGATGGAAATCGGGAGAATGGGGCGGGGTGATGGAAAGCGGGAGAATAAGGCGGGATGATGGAAAGCGAGAGAATGGGGCGGGGTGATGGAAAACGGGAGAATGGGACGGGGTGATGGAAAGTGAGAGAATTGGGCGGGGTGATGGATAGAGGGAGAATGGGGCGGGGTGATGGAAAGCGGGAGAATGGGGCGGGTGATGGAAAGAGGGAGAATGGGGCGGGGTGAAGGAAAGCGTGAGAATGGGGCGGGGTGATGGAAAGAGGGAGAATGGGGCGGGGTGATGGAAGGCGGGAAAATAGGGCGGGGTGATGGAAAGCGGGAGAATGGGGCGGGGTGATGAAAGGCGGGAGAATGGGGCGAGGTGATGGAAAGAGGGAGAACGGGACGGGGTGATGGAAAGCGGGAGAATGGGGTGGGTTGATAGAAAGCGGGAGAATGGGGCGGGGTGATGGAAAGAGGGAGAATGGGGCGGGGTGATGGAAACCAGGAGAATGGGGCGGGGTAATGGAAAGAGGGAGAATGGGGCGGGGTGATGGAAAGAGGGAGAATGGGGCGGGGTGATGGAAAGCGGGAGAATGGGGCGGGGTTATGGAGAGAGGGAGAATGGCGCGGGGTGATGGAAAGCGGGAGAATGGGGCGGGGTGATGGAAAGAGGGAGAATGGGGCGGGGTGATGGAAAGAGGGAGAATGGTGCGGGGTGATGGAAAGCGGGAGAATGGGTCGGGGTGTTGGAAAGCGGGAGAATAGGCCGGGGTGATGGAAAGTGGGAGAATGGGGCGGGGTGATGGAAAGCGGGAGAATGGGGCGGGGTGATGGAAATCGGGAGAATGGGGCGGGGTGATGGAAAGCGGGAGAATAAGGCGGGGTGATGGAAAGCGGGAGAATAGGGGGAGGGTGATAAAAAACGGGAGAATGGGACGGGGTGATGGAAAGTGGGAGAATTGGGCGGGGTGATGGATAGAGGGAGAATGGTTCGGGGTGATGGAAAGCGGGAGAATGGGGCGTTGTGATGGAAAGAGGGAAAATGGGGCGGTGTGATGGAAAGCGTGAGATTGGGGCGGGGTGATGGAAAGAGGGAGAATGGGGCGGGGTGATGGAAGGCGGGAATGGGGCGGGGTGATGGAAGGAGGGAGAATGGGGCGGGGTGATGGAAGGAGGGAGAATGGGGCGGGGTGATGGATAGCGGGAGAATGGGGCAAGGTGATGGAAAGCGGGAGAATGAGGCAGGGTGATGGAAAGCTGGAGAATGGGGCAGGGTGATGGAAAGCGGGAGAATGGGGCAGGGTGATGGAAAGCGGGAGAATGGGGCGGGGTGATGGAAAGCGGGAGAATGGGGCGGGGTGATGGAAGGAGGGAGAATGAGGCGGGGTGATGGAAGGAGGGAGAATGGGGCGGGTTGATGGAAAGCGGGAGAATGGGGCGGGGTGATGGAAAGCGGGAGAATAGGGCGGAGTGATGGAAAGTGGGAGAATGGGGCGGGGTGATGGAAAGCGGGAGAATGGGGCGGGGTGATGAAAAGCGGGAGAACGGGGCGGGATGTTGGAAAGCAGGAGAACAGGGCGGGGTGATGAATAGCGGGAGGATGGGGCGGGGTGATGGAAAGCGGGACAACGGGGCGGAGTGATGGAAAGCGGGAGAATGGGGCGGGTTGTGGAATGCGGGTGAATGGGGCGGGGTGATTAAAAGCGGGAGAATGGGGCGGGGTGATGGAAGGAGGTAGAATGAGGCGGGGTGATGGAAGGAGGGAGAATGGGGCGGGGTGATGGAAAGCGGGAGAATGGGGCGGGGTGATGGAAGGAGGGAGAATGGGGCGTGGTGATGGAAAGCGGGAGAATGGGGCGGGGTGATGGAAAGCGGGAGAATGGGGCGGGGTGATGGAAAGCGGGAGAATGGGGCGGGGTGATGGAAGGAGGGAGAATGGGGCGGGGTGATGGAATGCGGGAGAATGGGGAGGGCTGATGGAAAGCGGGAGAATGGGGCGGGGTGATCAAAGGAGGGAGAATGGGGCAGAGTGATGGAAGGAGGGAGAATGGGGCGGGGTGATGGAAGGAGGGAGAATGGGGCGGGGTGATGGAAAGTGGGAGAATGTGGCGGGGTGATGGAAAGCGGTAGAATGGGGCAGGGTTATGGAAAGCGGGAGAATGGGGCGGGGTGACGGAAAGCGGGAGAATGGGGCAGGGTGATGGAAGGAGGGAGAATGGGGCGGGGTGATGGAAAGCGGGAGAATGGGGCGTGGTGATGGAAAGCGGGAGAATGGGGCGGGGTGATGGAAAGCGGGAGAATGGGGCGGGGTGATGGAAGGAGGTAGAATGAGGCGGGGTGATGGAAGGAGAAGAATGGGGCGGGATGATGGAAAGCGGGAGAATGGGGCGGCGTGATGGAAAGCGGGAGAATGGGGCGGAGTGATGGAAAGCGGGACAATGGGGCGGGGTGATGGAAAGCGGGAGAATGGGGCGTGGTGATGGAAAGCGGGAGAATGGGGCGGGGTGATGGGAGAATGCGGCGGGGTGATGCAAAGCGGGAGAATGGGGCGGGGTGATGGAAAGCGGGAGAATGGGGCGGTGTGATGGAAAGCGGGTGAATGGGGTGGGCTGATGGAAAGCGGGAGAATGGGGCGGGGTGATGGAAAGCGGGAGAATGGGGCGGGGTGATGGAAAGCGGGAGAATGGGGCGGGGTGATGGAAAGCGGGAGAATGGGGCGGGGTGATGGAAAGCGGGAGAATGGGGCGGGGTGATGGAAAGAGGGAGAATGGGGCGGGGTGATGGAAAGCGGGAGAATGGGGCGGGGTGATGGAAAGCGGGAGAATGGGGTGGGCTGAAGGAAAGCGGGAGAATGGGGTGGGGTGATGGAAGGAGGGAGAATGGGGCGGGGTGGTTGAAGGAGGGAGAATGGGGCGGGTGATGGAAGGACAGAGAATGGGGCGGGGTGATGGAAAGCGGGAGATTGGGGCATGGTGATGGAAAGCGTGAGAATGGGGAGGGGTGATAGAAAGCGGGAAAATAAGGCGGGGTGATGGAAAGTGGGAGAATGGGGCTGGGTGATGGAAAGCGGGAGAATGGGGCGGGGTGATGGAAAGCGGGAGAATGGGGCGGGGTGATGGAAGGAGGGAGAATGAGGCGGAGTGATGGAAGGAGGGAGAATGGGGCGGGGTGATGGAAAGCAGGAGAATGGGGCGGGGTGATGGAAAGCGGGAGAATGGGGCGGAGTGATGGAAAGCGGGAGAATGGAGCGGTGTGATAGAAAGCGGGAGAATGGGGCGGGGTGATGGAAAGCGGGAGAATGGGGCGGGGTGTTGGAAAGCGGGAGAATGGGGCGGGGTGATGAAAAGCGGGAGAATGGGGCGGGGTGATGGAAAGTGGGAGAATGGGGCGGGGTGATGGAAAGCAGGAGAATGGGGTGGGTGATGGAAAGCGGGTGAATGGGGCGGGGTGATGGAAAGCAGGAGAATGGGGCGGGGTGATGGAAAGCAGAAGAATTGGGCGGGGTGATGGAAAGCGGGAGATGGGGCGAGGTGATGGCAAGCGGGAGAATGGGGCGGGTAATGGAAAGCGGGAGAATGGGGCGGGGTGATAGAAAGCGGGGGAATGGGGCGGGATGATGGGAAGCGGTAGAATGGGGCGGGGTGATGGAAAGCGGGAGAATGGGGCAGAGAGATGGAAAGCGGGAGAAAGGGGCGGGCTGATAAAAAGCGGGAGAATGGGGCGGGGTGATGGAAGGAGGGAGAATGGGGCGGGGTGATGGAAGGAGGGAGAAGGGGGCGGCATGATGGAAAGCGGGAGAATGGGGCGGGGTGATGGAAAGCGGGAGAATGGGGCGGGGTGATGGAAGGAAGGAGAATGGGGCGGGGTGATGGAAAGCAGGAGAATGTGGCGGGGAGATGGAAAGCGGGACAATGAGGTGGGGTTATGGGAAGCGGGAGAATGGGGCGGGGTGATCGAAAGCGGGAGAATGGGGCGGGGTGATCGAAGGAGGGAGAATAGCGCGGGGTGATGGAAAGCGGGAGAATGGGGCGGGGTGATTGAAGGAGGGAGAATGGGGCGGGGTGATGGAAAGCGGGAGAATGGGGCGGGGCGATGGAAGGAGGGAGAATGGGGCGGGGTGATGGAAAGCGGGAGAATGGGGCGGGGTGATGGAAAGCGGGAGAATGGGGCGCGGTGATGGAAAGCGGGAGAATGGGGCGGTGTGATGGAAAGCGGGAGAATGGGGTGGGCTGATGGAAAGCGGGAGAATGGGGCGGGATGATGGAAGGAGGGAGAATGGGGCGGGGTGATGGAAAGCGGGAGAATGGGGCGGGGTGATGGAAAGCGGGAGCATGGGGCGGAGTGATGGAAGGAGGTAGAATGAGGCGGGGTGATGGAAGAAGGGAGAATGGGGCGGGGAGATGGAAAGCGGGAGAATGGGGCGGGGTGATGGAAAGCGGGAGAATGGGGCGGGGTGATGGAAAGCGGGAGAATGGGGCGGGGTGATGGAAAGCGGGAGAATGGGGCGGGGTGATGGAAAACGGGAGAATGGGGCGGGGTGATGGAAAGCAGGAGAATGGGGCGGGGTGATGGAAAGCGGGAGAATGGGGTGGGCTGATGGAATGCGGGAGAATAGGGCGGGGTGATGGAAGGAGGGAGAAAGGGGCGGGGTGATGGAAGGAGGGAGAACGGGGCGGGTGATGGAAGGAGGGAGAATGGGGCGGGGTTATGGAAAGCGGGAGAATAGGGCGGGGTGGTGGAATGCGGGAGAATGGGGCGGGGTGATGGAAGGAGGGAGAATGGGGCGGGGTGATGGAAAGCGGGAGATTGGAGTAGGGTGGTGGAAAGCGTGAGAATAGGGCAGGGTGATAGAAAGCGGGAAAATGGGGCGGGGTGATGGAAAGTGGGAGAATGGGGCTGGGTGATGGAAAGCGGGAGAATGGGGCGGGGTGATGGAAAGCGGGAGAATGGGGCGGGGTGATGGAAGGAGGGAGAATGAGGTGGGGTGATGGAAGGAGGGAGAATGGGGCGGGGTGATGGAAAGCGGGAGAATGGGGCGGGGTGATGGAAAGCGGAAGAATGGGGCGGAGTGATGGAAAGCAGGAGAATGGAGCGGTGTGATGGAAAGCAGGAGAATGGGGCGGGGTGATGGAAAGCGGGAGAATGGGGCGGGGTGTTGGAAAGCGGGAGAATGGGGCGGGGTGATGAAAAGCGGGAGAATGGGGCGGGGTGATGGAAAGCGGGAGAATGGGGCGGGGTGATGGAAAGCGGGAGAATGGGGCGGGTGATGGAAAGCGGGTGAATGGGTCGGGGTGATGGAAAGCAGGAGAATGGGGCGGGGTGATGGAAAGCAGAATAATAGGGCGGGGTGATGGAATGCGGGAGATGGGGCGAGGTGATGGATAGCGGGAGAATAGGGCGTGTAATGGAAAGCGGGAGAATGGGGCGGGGTGATGGAAGGAGGGAGAATGGGGAGGGGTGATGGAAAGCGGGGGAATGGGGCGGGATGATGGGAAGCGGGAGAATGGGGCGGGGTGATGGAAAGCGGGAGAATGGGGCGAGGTGATGGAAAGCGGGAGAATGGGGCAGGGAGATGGAAAGCGGGAGAAAGGGGCGAGGTGATGGAATGCGGGAGAATGGGGCGGGGTGATGGAAAGCGGGAGAATGGGGCGGGGTGATGGAAGGAGGGAGAATAGGGCGGGGTGATGGAAGGAGGGAGAAGGGGGCGGGGTGATGGGAAGCGGAAGAATGGCGCGGGGTGATGGAAAGCGGGAGAATGGGGCGGGGTGATGGAAGGAGGGAGAATGGGGCGGGGTGATGGAAAGCGGGAGAATGGGGCGGGGTGATGGAAAGCGGGAGAATGGTGTGGGGTGATGGAAAGCGGGAGAATGGGGCGGGGTGAAGGAAGGAGGGAGAATGGGGCGGGGTGATGGAAGGAGGAAGGGGGCGGGGTGATGGAAAGCGAGAGAATGGGGCGGGGTGTTGGAAAGCGGGAGAATGGGGCGGGGTGATGAAAAAGGGAGAAAAGGGCGGGGTGATGGAAAGCGGGGGAATGGGGCGGGATGATGGAAAGCGGGAGAATGGGGCGGGGTGACGGAAAGAGGGAGAATGGGGCAGGGTGACGGAAATCGAGAGAATTGGGCGGGGTGATGGAAAGTGGGAGAATGGGTCGGGGTGATGGAAAGCGGGAGAATGGGGCGGGGTGATGGAAAGCGGGAGAATGGGGTGGGGTGATGGAAAGTGGGAGAATGGGGTGGGGTGATGGAAAGCGGGAGAATGGGGCGGGGTGATGGAATGCGGGAGACTAGGGAGGGGTGATGGAAAGCGGGAGAATGGGGCGGGGTGATGGAAAGCGGGAGAATGGGGCGGGGTGATGGAAAGCGGGAGAATGGGGCGGGGTGATGGAAAGAGGCGAAAGAATGGGACGGGGTGAAGGAAAGCAGGAGAATGGGGCGGGGTGATCGAAAGAGGGAGAATGGGGCGGGGTGATGGAAAGCGGGAGAATGGGGCGGGTTGATGGAAAGCGGGAGAATGGGGCGGGGTGATGGACAGTTGGAGAATGGGGCGGGGTGATGGAAAGCGGGAGAATGGGGCGGGGTGATGGAAAGCGGGAGAATGGGGCGGAGTGATGGACAGCGGGAGAATGGGGCGGGGTGATGGAAAGAGTCGAGAGAATGGGGCGGGGTGATGGAAATCGGGAGAATGGGGCGGGGTGATGGAAGGAGGGAGAATGGGGCGGGGTGATAGAAAGAGGTAGAATGGGGCAGAGTGATGGGAAGCGAGAGAATAGGGCAGGGTGATGGAAACCGGGAGAATGGGGCGGGGCGATGGAAACCGGGAGAATGGGGCGGGGTGATGGAAAGCGGGAGAATGGGGCGGGGTGATGGAAAGCGGGAGAATGGGGCGGGGTGATGGAAAGCGGGAGAATGGGGCGGGGTGATGGAAAGAGGGAGAATGGGGCGGGGTGATGGAAAGAGGGAGAATGGGGCGGGGTGATGGAAAGCGGGAGAATGGGGCGGGGTGATAGAAAGCGGGAGAATGGGGCGGGGTGATGGAAAGCGGGAGAACGGGGCGGGGTGATGGGAAGCGGGAGAATGGGGGCGGGGTGATGGAAAGCGGGAGAATGGGGTGCGGTGATGGAAAGCGGGAGAATGGGGCGGGGTGATGGAAAGAGGCGGGAGAATGGGACGGGGTGATGGAAAGCAGGAGAATGTGGTGGGGAGATGGAAAGCGGGAGAATGGGGCGGGGTGATGGAAAGAGGGAGAATGGGGCGGGGTGATGGAAAGCGGGAGAATGGGGCGGGGTGATGGAAAGCAGGAGAATGGGGCGGGGTGATGGAAAGAGGGAGAATGGGGCGGGGTGATGCAAAGCGGGAGAATGGGGCGGGGTGATGGAAAGCGGGAGAATGGGGCGGGATGATGGAAAGCGGAAGAATGAGGCGGGGTGATATAAAGCGGGAGAATGGGGCAGGGTGATGGAAAGAGGGAGAATGGGGCGGGATGATGGAAAGCGGGAGAATGGGGCGGGGTGATGGAAAGCGGGAGAATGGAAAGGGGTGATGGAAAGCGGGAAAATGGGGCGGGGTGATAGAATGCGGGAGAATGGGGCGGGGTGATGGAAAGAGGGAGAATGGGGCGGGGTGATGGAATGCGGGAGAATGGGGCGGGGTGATGGAAACCGGGAGAATGGGGCGGGGTGATGGAAAGCGGGAGAATGGGGCGGGGTGATGGAAAGCGGGAGAATGGGGCGGGGTGATGGAAAGCGGGAGAATGGGGCGGGGTGATGGAAAGCGGGAGAATGGGGCGGGGTGATGGAAAGAGGGAGAATGGGGCGGGGTGATGGAAAGAGGGAGAATGAGGCGGGGTGATGGAAAGCGGGAGAATTGGGCGGGGTGATGGAAAGCGGGAGAACGGGGCGGGGTGATGGAAAGCGGGAGAATGGGGCAGGGTGATGGAAAGCAGGGGAATGGGGCGGGGTGATGGAAAGCGGGAGAATGGGGCGGGGTGATGGAAAGCGGGAGAATGGGGCGGGGTGATGGAAGGAGGGAGAATGGGGCGGGGTGGTAGAAGGGGGGAGGATGGGGTGGGGTGATGGAAAGCGGGAGAATGGGGCGAGGTGATGGAAAGCAGGAGAATGAGGTGGGGTGATGGAAAGAGGGAGAATGGGGCGGGGTGATGGAAAGCGGGAGAATGGGGCGGGGTGGTGGAAAGCGGGAGAATGGGGCGGGGTGATGGAAAGCAGGAGAATGGGGCGGGTTGATGGAAAACGGGAAAATGGGGCGGGGTGATGGAAAGCGGGAGAATGGGACAGGGTGATGGAAGGAGAGAGAAGGGGGCGGGGTGATGGAAAGTGGGAGAATGTGGCGGGGTGATGGAAAGCGGGAGAATGGGGTGGGGTTATGGGAAGCGGGAGAATGGGGCAGGGTGGTGGAAAGCGGGAGAATGGGGCAGGGTGATGGGAGGAGGGAGAATTGGGCGGGGTGATGGAAGGGGGGAGAATGGGGCGGGGTGATGGAAAGAGGGAGAATGGGGCGGGGTGATGGAAAGAGGGAGAATGGGGCGGGGTGATGGAAAGCGGGAGAATGGGGCGGGGTGATAGAAAGCGGGAGAATGGGGCGGGGTGATGGAAAGCGGGAGAACGGGGCGGGGTGATGGGAAGCGGGAGAATGGGGGCGGGGTGATGGAAAGCGGGAGAATGGGGTGCGGTGATGGAAAGCGGGAGAATGGGGCGGGGTGATGGAAAGAGGCGGGAGAATGGGACGGGGTGATGGAAAGCAGGAGAATGTGGTGGGGAGATGGAAAGCGGGAGAATGGGGCGGGGTGATGGAAAGAGGGAGAATGGGGCGGGGTGATGGAAAGCGGGAGAATGGGGCGGGGTGATGGAAAGCAGGAGAATGGGGCGGGGTGATGGAAAGAGGGAGAATGGGGCGGGGTGATGCAAAGCGGGAGAATGGGGCGGGGTGATGGAAAGCGGGAGAATGGGGCGGGATGATGGAAAGCGGAAGAATGAGGCGGGGTGATATAAAGCGGGAGAATGGGGCAGGGTGATGGAAAGAGGGAGAATGGGGCGGGATGATGGAAAGCGGGAGAATGGGGCGGGGTGATGGAAAGCGGGAGAATGGAAAGGGGTGATGGAAAGCGGGAAAATGGGGCGGGGTGATAGAATGCGGGAGAATGGGGCGGGGTGATGGAAAGAGGGAGAATGGGGCGGGGTGATGGAATGCGGGAGAATGGGGCGGGGTGATGGAAACCGGGAGAATGGGGCGGGGTGATGGAAAGCGGGAGAATGGGGCGGGGTGATGGAAAGCGGGAGAATGGGGTGGGGTGATGGAAAGCGGGAGAATGGGGCGGGGTGATGGAAAGCGGGAGAATGGGGCGGGGTGATGGAATGCGGGAGAATGGGGCGGGGTGGTGGAAAGCAGGAGAATGGGGCGGGGTGATGGAAAGCGGGAGAATGGGGCGGGGTGAAGGAAAGCGGGAGAATGGGGCGGGATGATGGAAAGCGGGAGAATGGGGCGGAGTGATGGAACGCGGGAGAATGGGGCGGGGTGATGGAAGGAGGGAGAATGGGGCGGGGTGATGGAAGGAGGGAGAATGGGGCGGGGTGATGGAAAGCGGGAGAATGGGGCGGGGTGATGGAAAGCGGGAGAATGGGGCGGGGTGATGGAAAGCGGGAAAATGGGGCGGGGTGATGGAAAGCGGGAGAATGGGGCTGGGTGATGGAAAGCGGGAGAATGGGGCGGGGTGATGGAAAGCGGGAGAATGGGGCGGGGTGATGGAAGGAGGGAGAATGAGGCAGGGTGATGGAAAGCGGGAGCATGGGGCGGGGAGATGGAAAGCGGGAGAATGGGGCGGGGTGGTCGAAGGAGGGAGAATGGGGCGGGGTGATGGAAGGAGGGAGAATGGGGCGGGGTGATGGAAAGTGGGAGAATGTGGCGGGGTGATGGAAAGCGGGAGATAGGGCTGGGGATATGGGAAGCGGAGAATGGGGCGGGGTGATGGAAGGAGGGAGAATGGGGCGGGGTGATGGAAAGAGGGAGAATGGGGCGGGGTTATGGAAAGCGGAAGAATGGGGCAGGGTGATGGAAAGCGGGAGAATTGGGCGGGGTGATGGAAAGCGGGAGAACGGGGCGGGGTGATGGAAAGCGGGAGAATGGGGCGGGGTGATGGAAAGCAGGGGAATGGGGCGGGGTGATGGAAAGCGGGAGAATGGGACGGGGTGATGGAAAGCGGGAGAATGGGGCGGGGTGATGGAAGGAGGGAGAATGGGGCGGGGTGATAGAAGGTGGGAGGATCGGGTGGGGTGATGGAAAGCGGGAGAATGGGGCGGGGTGATGGAAAGCGGGAGAATGGGGCGGGGTGGTGGAAAGCGGGAGAATGGGGCGGGGTGATGGAAAGCAGGAGAATGGGGCAGGGTGATGGAAAGCGTGAAAATGGGGCGGGGTGATGGAAAGCGGGAGAATGGGGCTGGGTGATGGAAAGCGGGAGAATGGGGCGGGGTGATGGAAAGCGGGAGAATGGGGCGGGGTGATGGAAGGAGGGAGAATGAGGCAGAGTGATGGAAGGAGGGAGAATGGGGCGGGGTGATGGAAAGCGGGAGAATGGGGCGGGGTGATGGAAAGCGGGAGAATGGGGCGGGGTGATGGAAAGCGGGAGAATGGGGCGGGGTGATGGAAAGCGGGAGAATGGGGCAGGCTGATGGAAAGCGGGAGAATGGGGCGGGGTGATCGAAGGAGGGAGAATGGGGCGGGGTGATGGAAGGAGGGAGATGGGGCTGGGGTTATGGGAAGCGGAGAATGGGGCGGGGTGATGGAAGGAGGGAGAATGGGGCGGGGTGATGGAAAGCGGGAGAATTGGGCGGGGTGATGGAAAGCGGGATAACAGGGCGGGGTGATGGAAAGCGGGAGAATGGGGCTGGGTGATGGAAAGCGGGAGAATGGGGCGGGGTGATGGAAAGCGGGAGAATGGGGCGGGGTGATGGAAGGAGGGAGAATGAGGCAGGGTGATGGAAAGCGGGAGCATGGGGCGGGGAGATGGAAAGCGGGAGAATGGGGCGGGGTGGTCGAAGGAGGGAGAATGGGGCGGGGTGATGGAAAGAGGGAGAATGGGGCGGGTTGATGGAAAGTGGGAGAATGTGGCGGGGTGATGGAAAGCGGGAGATAGGGCTGGGGATATGGGAAGCGGAGAATGGGGCGGGGTGATGGAAGGAGGGAGAATGGGGCGGGGTGATGGAAAGAGGGAGAATGGGGCGGGGTTATGGAAAGCGGAAGAATGGGGCAGGGTGATGGAAAGCGGGAGAATTGGGCGGGGTGATGGAAAGCGGGAGAACGGGGCGGGGTGATGGAAAGCGGGAGAATGGGGCGGGGTGATGGAAAGCAGGGGAATGGGGCGGGGTGATGGAAAGCGGGAGAATGGGACGGGGTGATGGAAAGCGGGAGAATGGGGCGGGGTGATGGAAGGAGGGAGAATGGGGCGGGGTGATAGAAGGTGGGAGGATCGGGTGGGGTGATGGAAAGCGGGAGAATGGGGCGGGGTGATGGAAAGCGGGAGAATGGGGCGGGGTGGTGGAAAGCGGGAGAATGGGGCGGGATGATGGAAAGCAGGAGAATGGGGCAGGGTGATGGAAAGCGTGAAAATGGGGCGGGGTGATGGAAAGCGGGAGAATGGGGCTGGGTGATGGAAAGCGGGAGAATGGGGCGGGGTGATGGAAAGCGGGAGAATGGGGCGGGGTGATGGAAGGAGGGAGAATGAGGCAGAGTGATGGAAGGAGGGAGAATGGGGCGGGGTGATGGAAAGCGGGAGAATGGGGCGGGGTGATGGAAAGCGGGAGAATGGGGCGGGGTGATGGAAAGCGGGAGAATGGGGCGGGGTGATGGAAAGCGGGAGAATGGGGCAGGCTGATGGAAAGCGGGAGAATGGGGCGGGGTGATCGAAGGAGGGAGAATGGGGCGGGGTGATGGAAGGAGGGAGATGGGGCTGGGGTTATGGGAAGCGGAGAATGGGGCGGGGTGATGGAAGGAGGGAGAATGGGGCGGGATGATGGAAAGCGGGAGAATTGGGCGGGGTGATGGAAAGCGGGATAACAAGGCGGGGTGATGGAAAGCGGGAGAATGGGGCGGGGTGATGGAAAGTGGGGGAATGGGGCGGGGTGATGGAAAGCGGGAGAATGGGGCGGGGTGATGGAAAGCGGGAGAATGGGGCGGAGTGATGGAAAGCGGGAGAATGGGGCGAGGTGATGAAAGGAGGGAGAATGGGGCGGGGTCATAGAAGGTGGGAGGATGGGGTGGGGTGATGGAAAGCGGGAGAATGGGGCGGGGTGATGGAAAGCGGGAGAATGGGGCAAGGTGGTGGAAAGCAGGAGAATGGGGCGGGGTGATGGAAAGCAGGAGAATGGGGCGGGGTGATGGAAAACGGGGAAATGGGGTGGGGTGATGGAAAGCGGGAGAATGGGGCAGGGTGATGGAAGGAAGGAGAATGGGCCGAGGTGATGGAAGGAGGGAGAATGGGATGGGGTGATGGAAAGAGGGAGATTGGGGCGGGGTGATGGAAAGCGGGAGAATGGGGCGGGGTGATGGAAAGCGGGAGAATGGGGCGGGGTGATGGAATGCGGGAGAATGGGGCGGGGTGGTGCAAAGCAGGAGAATGGGGCGGGGTGATGGAAAGCGGGAGAATGGGGCGGGGTGAAGGAAAGCGGGAGAATGGGGCGGGATGATGGAAAGCGGGAGAATGGGGCGGAGTGATGGAACGCGGGAGAATGTGGCGGGGTGATGGAACCCAGGAGAATGGGGCGGGGTGATGGAAGGAGGGAGAATGGGGCGGGGTGATGGAAAGTGGGAGAATGTGGCGGGGTGATGGAAAGCAGGAGATAGGGCTGGGGATATGGGAAGCGGAGAATGGGGCGGGGTGATGGAAGGAGGGAGAATGGGGCGGGGTGATGGAAAGAGGGAGAATGGGGCGGGGTGATGGAAAGCGGAAGAATGGGGCAGGGTGATGGAAAGCGGGAGAATTGGGCGGGGTGATGGAAAGCGGGAGAACGGGGCGGGGTGATGGAAAGCGGGAGAATGGGGCGGGGTGATGGAAAGCAGGGGAATGGGGCGGGGTGATGGAAAGCGGGAGAATGGGGCGGGGTGATGGAAAGCGGGAGAATGGGGCGGGGTGATGGAAAGAGGGAGAATGGGGCGGGGTGATAGAAGGTGGGAGGATCGGGTGGGGTGATGGAAAGCGGGAGAATGGGGCGGGGTGATGGAAAGCGTGAAAATGGGGCGGGGTGATGGAAAGCGGGAGAATGGGGCTGGGTGATGGAAAGCGGGAGAATGGGGCGGGGTGATGGAAAGCGGGAGAATGGGGCGGGGTGATGGAAGGAGGGAGAATGAGGCAGAGTGATGGAAGGAGGGAGAATGGGGCGGGGTGATGGAAAGCGGGAGAATGGGGCGGGGTGATGGAAATCGGGAGAATGGGGCGGGGTGATGGAAAGCGGGAGAATGGGGCGGGGTGATGGAAAGCGGGAGAATGGGGTAGGCTGATCGAAAGCGGGAGAATGGGGCGGGGTGATCGAAGGAGGGAGAATGGGGCGGGGTGATGGAAGGAGGGAGATGGGGCTGGGGTTATGGGAAGCGGAGAATGGGGCGGGGTGATGGAAGGAGGGAGAATGGGGCGGGGTGATGGAAAGAGGGAGAATGGGGCGGGGTGATGGAAAGCGGGAGAATTGGGCGGGGTGATGGAAAGCGGGATAACAGGGCGGGGTGATGGAAAGCGGGAGAATGGGGCGGGGTGATGGAAAGTGGGGGAATGGGGCGGGGTGATGGAAAGCAGGAGAATGGGGCGGGGTGATGGAAAGCGGGAGAATGGGGCGGAGTGATGGAAAGCGGGAGAATGGGGCGAGGTGATGAAAGGAGGGAGAATGGGGCGGGGTCATAGAAGGTGGAAGGATGGGGTGGGGTGATGGAAAGCGGGAGAATGGGGCGGGGTGATGGAAAGCGGGAGAATGGGGCAAGGTGGTGGAAAGCAGGAGAATGGGGCGGGGTGATGGAAAGCAGGAGAATGGGGCGGGGTGATGGAAAACGGGGAAATGGGGTGGGGTGATGGAAAGCGGGAGAATGGGGCAGGGTGATGGAAGGAAGGAGAATGGGCCGAGGTGATGGAAGGAGGGAGAATGGGATGGGGTGATGGAAAGCGGGAGAATGGGGTGGGGTGATGGAAAGCGGGAGAATGGGGTGGGGTGATGGAAAGCGGGAGAATGGGGCGGGGTGATGGAATGCGGGAGAATGGGGCGGGGTGGTGGAAAGCAGGAGAATGGGGCGGGGTGATGGAAAGCGGGAGAATGGGGCGGGGTGAAGGAAAGCGGGAGAATGGGGCGGGATGATGGAAAGCGGGAGAATGGGGCGGAGTGATGGAACGCGGGAGAATGTGGCGGGGTGATGGAACCCAGGAGAATGGGGCGGGGTGATGGAAGGAGGGAGAATGGGGCGGGGTGATGGAAGGTGGGAGGATGGGGCGGGGTGATGGAAAGCGGGAGAATGGGGCGGGGTGATGGAAAGCGGGAGAATGGGGCGGGGTGGTGGAAAGCGGGAGAATGTGGCGGGGTGATGGAAGCCAGGGAAATGGGGCGGGGTGATGTAAGGAGGGAGAATGGGGCGGGGTGATAGAAGGAGGGAGAATGGAGCGGGGTGATGGAAGGAGGGAGAATGGGGCGGGGTGATGGAAAGCGGGAGAATGGGGCGGGGTGATGGAAAGCGGGAGAATGGGGTGGGGTGATGGAAAGCGGGAGAATGGGGCGGGGTGATGGAAAGCGGGAGAATGGGGCGGGATGATGGAAAGCGGGAGAATGGGACGGGTTGATGGAAAGCGGGAGAATAGGGCGGGGTGATGGAAAGCGGGAGAATGGGGCGCGGTGATGGAAAGCGGGAGAATGGGGCGGGGTAATGGAAAGCGGGAGAATGGGGCGGGGTGATGGAAGGGAGGAGAATGGGGCGGGGTGATGGAAAGCGGGAGAATGAGTTGGGGTGATGGAAAGCGGGAGAATAGGGCGGGATGATGGAAAGCGGGAGAATGGGCCGGGATGATGAAAAGCGGAGGAATGGGGCGGGGTGATGGAAGGCGGGAGAATGGTGCGGGGTGATGGAAGGAGGGAAAATGAAGCGGGGTGATGGAAGGAGGGAGAATGGGGCGGGGTGATGGAAAGCGGGAGAATGGGGCGGGGTGATAGAAAGCGGGAGAATGGGGCGGGGTGATGGATTGCGGGACAATGGGGCGGGGTCATGGAAAGCAGGGGAATGGGGCGGGGTGATGGAAGGAGGGAGATTGGGGCGGGGTGACGGAAAGCGGGAGAATGGGGCGGGGTGATGGAAAGCGGGAGAATGGGGCGGGGTGATGGAAAGCGGGAGAATGGGGCGGGGTGATGGAAAGCGGGAGAGATTCTGCTCAACTGCATCGACTGTGGGATGGGATGATGAGACTGGTGGTTGAGACGTGGTGATTGGTAATAAACGTGTTATTTCCAGACGTCTCAAAGTAACTCTTTCATCACGTGGCTGGTGAGATGAAAGTAACTCTTTCATCAGATGGTGAGATGAAAGTTATTATTCGTCAGATGGTGAGATGAAAGTAACTCTTTGAACAGGTGGTGAGATGAAAGTAACTCTTCCATCAGATGGTGAGATGAAAGTAACTCTTTCGTCAGATAGTGAGATGAAAGTTATTATTGATCAGATGGTGAGATGAAAGTAACTCTTTCATCAGATGGTGAGATGAAAGTAACTCTTTCATCAGATGGTGAGATGAAAGTAACTCTTTCATCAGATGGTGAGATGAAAGCAACTCTTTCATCAGATGGTGAGATGAAAGTACCTCTTTCATCAGATGGTGAGATCAAAGTAACTCTTTCATCAGATGGTGAGATGAAAGCAACTCTTTCATCAGATGGTGAGATGAAAGTACCTCTTTCATCAGATGGTGAGATGAAAGTAATTCTTTCATCAGATGGTGAGGTAAAAGTACCTCTTTCATCAGATGGTGAGATGAAAGCAACTCTTTCATCAGATGGTGAGATGAAAGCAACTATTTCTTCAGATGGTGAGATGAAAGTAACTCTTTCATCAGATGGTGAGATGAAAGTTATTATTCATCAGACGGTGAGATGAAAGTACCTCTTTCATCAGATGGTGAGATGAAAGTAACTCTTTCATCAGATGGTGAGATGAAAGTACCTCTTTCATCAGATGGTGAGATGAAAGTACCTCTGTCATCAGATGGTGAGATGAAAGTACCTCTGTCATAACGTGCCTGGTGTCCTCCGATCCGCAGTGAGTTTCCTTGTCATCGCCAGTGTGGGGCACGGGCTCATTTTCCTCATGTACTTGCCCCCCTTCCCCCTCCTCCCTCTGCTGGTCAGGGCCAAGGCTTTCGACCTTGACCTGGTGGGCCTGGTGTCGTCAAGCCCTCAAGCCTTCTAGCCTTCAAGCCCTCAAGCCCTCAAGCCTTCAAGCCTTCAAGCCCTCAAGCCCTCACGCCCTCAAGCCCTCAAGCCTTCAAGCCTTCAAGCCTTCAAGCCTTCAAGAATTCAAGCCTTCAAGCCCTCAAGCCCTCAAGCCCTCAAGCCCTCAAGCCCTCAAGCCCTCACGCCCTAACGCCCTCAAGCCCTCAAGCCCTCACGCCCTCAAGCCCTCAAGCCTTCAAGCCCTCAAACCTTCAAGCCATCAAGCACTCAAGCCTTCAAGCCCTCAAGCCCTCAAGCCTTCAAGCCTTCAAGCCTTCAAGCCCTCAAGCCCTCAAGCCTTCAAGCCTTCAAGCCCTCAAGCCCACAAGCCTTCAAGCCTTCAAGCCCTCAAGCCTTCAAGCCTTCAAGCCCTCAAGCCCTCAAGCCCTCAAGCCCTCAAGCCCTCAAGCCTTCACGCCCTCAAGCCTTCAAGCCTTCAAGCCCTCAAGGCCCCATTATCCCGCTTTCCATCACCCCGCCCCATTCTCCCGCTTTCCATCACCCCGCCCCATTCTCCTGCTTTCTATCACCCCGCTCCATTCTCTCGCTTTCCATCAACCCGCCCCATTCTCCCGCTTTCTATCACCCCGCCCCATTCTCCCTCTTTCCTTCGCCCCGCCCCATTCTCCCGCTTCCCATCACCCCGCCCCATTCTCCCTCTTCCCATCACCCCGCCCCATTCTCCCGCTTTCGTTCACCCCACGCCATTCTCCCGCTTTTTATCACCCCGCCCCATTCTCCCGCTTTCCTTCACCCCGCCCCATTCACCGGCTTCCCATCACCCTGCCCCATTCTCCCTCTTCCCATCACCCGCCCCATTCTCCCGCTTTCCATCACCCCGCCCCATTCTCCCGCTTTCCATCACCGCGCCCCATTCTCCCCCATCACCCCACCCCATTCTCCTGCTTTCCATCACCCCGCCCCATTCTACCTCTTTCCATCACCCTGCCCCATTCTCCCGATTTCCATCACCCCGCCCCATTCTCCCGCTTTCCATCACCCCGCCCCATTCTCCCTCTTTCCATCATCCCGCCCCATTCTTCCGCTTTCCATCACCTCGCCCCATTCTCCCGTTTCTATCACCCGCCCCATTCTCCCTCTTTCCTTCACCCCGCCCCATTCTCCCGCTTCCCATCACCTCGCCCCATTCTCCCTCTTCCCATCACCCCGCCCCATTCTCCCGCTTTCGATCACCCCGCCCAATTCTCCCGCTTTCCATCACCCCGCCCTATTCTCCCGCTTTCCTTCACCCCGCCCCATTCCCCCGCTTCCCATCACCCCGGCCCATTCGCCCTCTTCCCATCACCCCGCCTCATTCTCCCGCTTTCCATCACCCCGCCCCATTCTCCCTCTTTCCATCACCCCGCCCCATTCTCCCGCTTTCCGTCACCCCGCCCCATTCTCCCGCTTCCCATCACCTCGCCCCATTCTCCCTCTTCCCATCACCCCGCCCCATTCTCCCGCTTTCGATCACCCCGCCCAATTCTCCCGCTTTCCATCACCCCGCCCTATTCTCCCGCTTTCCTTCACCCCGCCCCATTCCCCCGCTTCCCATCACCCCGGCCCATTCGCCCTCTTCCCATCACCCCGCCTCATTCTCCCGCTTTCCATCACCCCGCCCCATTCTCCCTCTTTCCATCACCCCGCCCCATTCTCCTGCATTCCATCACCCCGCCCCATTCTCCCTCTTTCCATCACCCCGCCCCATTCTCCCGCTTTCCGTCACCCCGCCCCATTCTCCCGCTTTCCATCACCCCGCCCCATTCTCCCGCTTTCCATCACTCCGCCCTATTCTCCCGCTTTCCATCACCCCGCCCCATTCTCCCGCTTTCCATCACCCCGCCCCATTCTCCCGCATTCCATCACCCCGCCCCATTCTCCCACTTTCCATCACCCCGCTCCATTCTCCCGCTTTCCATCACCCCGCCCCATTCTCCTGCTTTCTATCACCCCGCCCCATTCTCCCTCTTTCCTTCACCCTGCCCCATTCTCCCGCTTCCCATCACCCCGCCCCATTCTCCCTCTTCCCATCACCCCGTCCCATTCTCCCGCTTTCGATCACCCCGCCCCATTCTCCCACTTTCCATAACCCCGCCCCATTCTCCCGCTTTCCATCACCCCGCCCCATTCTCCCGCTTTCCATCACCCCGCCCCTCTTTCCATCACCCCGCCCCATTCTCCCGCTTTCCATCACCCCGCCCCATTCTCCTGCTTTCCATCACCCCGCCCCACTCTCCCGCTTTCCATCATCCCACCCCATTCTCCCGCTTTCCATCACCCCGCCCCATTCTCCACCTTTCCATCACCCCGCCCCATTCTCCCGCTTTCCATCACCCCGCCCCATTCTCCCGCTTTCCATCACCCCGCCCCATTCTCCCGCCTTCCATCACCCCGCCCCATTCTCCCTCTTTTCATCATCCCGCCCTATTCTCCCTCATTACATCACCGCGCCCCATTCTCCCTCTTTCCATCACCCCGCCCCATTCTTCCGCTTTCCATCACCCCGCCCCATTCTCGCTCTTTCCATCATCCCGCCCCATTCTCCCGCTTTCCATCACCCCGCCCCATTCTCCCGCTTTCCATCACCCCGGCCCATTCTCCCGCTTTCCATCACCCCGCCCCATTCTCCCGTTTTCCATCACCCCGCCCCATTCTCCCGCTGTCCATCACCCGCCTCATCTCCCGCTTTCCATCACCCCGCCCCATTCTCCCGCTCTCCATCACCCCGCCCCATTCTCCCGCTTTTCATCACCCCGCCCCATTCTCCCGCTTTCCATCACCCCGCGCCATTCTCCCGCTTTCCATCACCCCGCCCCATTCTCCCGCTTTCCATCACCCCGCGCCATTCTCCCGCTTTCCATCACCCCGCCCCATTCTCCCGCTTTCCATCACCCCGCCCCACTCTCTCGCTTTCCATCACCCCGCCCCATTTCACCTCTTTCCATCACCCCGTTCCATTCTCCCTCTTTCCGTCACCCCACCTCATTCTCCCTCTTTCCATCACCCTGCTCCATTCTCCCTCTTTCGATCACCCCGCCCCATTCTCCTGCTTTCCATCACCCCGCCCCATTCTCCCTCTTTCGATCAGCCCGCCTCATTCTCCCGCTTTCCATCACCCCGCCCCATTCTCCCGCTTTCCATCACCCCGCCCCATTCTCCCGCTTTTCATCACCCCGCCCCATTCTCCCGCTTTCCTTCACCCCGTTCCATTCTCCCGCTTTCCATCACCCCGCCCCATTCTCCCGCTTTCCATCACCCCGCCCCATTCTCCCTCTTTCTATCACCCTGCCCCATTCTCCCGCTTTCCATCACCCCGCCCCATTCTCCTCCTTTCCATCACCCCACCCCAGTCTCCCGCTTTCCATCACCCCGCCCCATTCTCCCTCTTTCTATCACCCTGCCCCATTCTCCCGCTTTCCATCACCCCGCCCCATTCTCCTCCTTTCCATCACCCCACCCCAGTCTCCCGCTTTCCATCACCCCGCCCCATTCTCCCTCTTTCTATCACCCTGCCCCAATCTCCCGCTTTCCATCACCCCGCCCCATTCTCCTCCTTTCCATCACCCCACCCCAGTCTCCCGCTTTCCATCACCCCACCCCATTCTCCCGCTTTCCATCACCCCGCCCCATTCTCCCTCTTTCCATCACCCCACCTCATTCTCCTGCTTTCCATCACCTCGCCCCATTCTCCCTCTTTCCATAACCCCGCCCCATTCTTCCGCTTTCCATCACCCCGCCCCGTTCTCCCGCTTTCCATCACCCCGCCCCATTCTCCCACTTTCCATCACCCCGCCCCATTCTCCCGCTTTCCATCACCACGCCCCGTTTTCCCGCTTTCCATCATCCCGCCCCACTCTCCAACTTTCCATCACCCCGCCCCATTCTCCTGCTTTCCATCACCCTGCCCCATTCTCCCGCTTTCCATCACCCCGCCCCATTCTCCCGCTTTCAATCACCACGCCCCATTTTCCCGCTTTCCATCACCCCGCCCCACTCTCCAACTTTCCATCACCCCGCCCCATTCTCCCGCTTTCCATCACCCCGCCCCATTCTCCCGCTTTCCATCACCCCGCCCCATTCTCCCTCTTTCCATCACCTCGCCCCATTCTCCCGCTTTCCATCACCCCGCCCCGTTCTCCCGCTTTTCATCACCCCGCCCCATTCTCCCGCTTTCCTTCACCCCATTCCATTCTCCCGCTTTCCATCACCCCGCCCCATTCTCCCGCTTTCCATCACCCCGCCCCATTCTCCAGCTTTCCATCACCCCGCCCCATTCTCCCGCTTTCCATCACCCCGCCCCACTCTCCCGCTTTCCATCACCCCGCCCCATTCTCCCGCTTTCCATCACCCCGCCCCATTCTCCCGCTTTCCATCACCCCGCCCCATTCTCCCGCTTTCCAAAACCCCGCCCCATTCTCCCGCTTTCTATCACCCCGCCCCATTCTCCCGCTTTACATCACCCCGCTCCATTCTCCTGCTTTCCATCACCCCGCCCATTCTCCCGCTTTCCATCACACCGCCCCATTCTGCCTCCTTCCATCAACCCTTGCAAGAACAAGGGCCTAGCGTGTGCAAAATTTCAAGAACAAGGGCCTAGCGAGTGCAAAATTGCAAGAACAAGGGCCTAGCGTGTGCAAAATAGAAAGAACAAGGGCCTAGCGTTTGCAAAATTTCAAGAACAAGGGCCTAGCGAGTGCAAAATTTCAACAACAAGGGCCGAGCGTGTACAAAATTGCAAGAACAAGAGCCTAGCGTGTGCAAAAATGCAAGAACAAGGGCCTAGCGAGTGCAAAATTGGAAGAACAAGGGGCTAGCGTGTGCAAATTGCAAGAACAAGGGCCTAGCGTGTGCAAAATTTCAAGAACAAGATCCTAGCGAGTGCAAAATTGGAAGTTCAAGTACCTAGCGTGTGCAAACTTGCAAGAACAAGGGCCTAGCGTATGCAAAATTTCAAGAACAAGGGCCTAGCGTGTGCAAAATTTCAAGAACAGGGGCCTAGCAGGTGCAAAATTGCAAGAACAAGGGCCTAGCGTGTGCAAAATTGCAAGAACAAGGGCATAGCGTGTGCAAAATTGCAAGAACAAGGGCCTAGCGTGTGCATAATTTCAAGAACAAGGGCCTAGCGAGTGCAAAATTGCAAGAACAAGGGCCTAGCGAGTGCAAAATTGGAAGAACAAGTGCCTAGCGTGTGCAAAATTGCAATAACAAGGGCCTTTCGTGTGCAGCATTTCAAGAACAAGGGCATAGCGAGTGCAAAATTGGAAGAACAAGGGCCTAGCGTGTGCAAAATTGCAAGAACAAGGGCCTAGCATTTGCAAAATTGCAAGAACAAGGGCCTAGCGTGTCCAAAATTGCAAGAACAAGGGCCTAGCGTGTGCATAATTTCAAGAACAAGGGCCTAGCGAGTGCAAAATTGCAAGAACAAGGGCCTAGGGAGTGCAAAATTGGAAGAACAAGTGCCTAGCGTGTGCAAAATTGCAATAACAAGGGCCTTTCGTGTGCAACATTTCAAGAACAAGGGCCTAGCGTGTGCAAAATTGGAAGAACAAGGGCCTAGCGTGTGCAAAATTGCAAGAAAAAGGGCCTAGCGTGTGCAAAATTGGAAGAACAAAGGCCTAGCGTGTGCAAAATTTCAAGAACAAGGGCCTAGCGTGTGCAAAATTTCAATAACAAGGGCCTAGCGGGTGCAAAAATGCAAGAACAAGGGCCTAGCGAGTGCAAAATTGCAAGAACAAGGGCCTAGCGTGTGCAAAATTTCAAGAACAGGGGCCTAGCGTGTGCAAAATTTCAAGAACAAGGGCCTAGCGGGTGCAAAATTGCAAGAACAAGGGCCTAGCGTGCGCAAAATTGCAAGAACAAGGGCCTAGCGTGTGCAAAATTGCAAGAACAAGGGCCTAGCGTGTGCATAAATTCAAGAACAATGGCCTAGCGAGTGCAAAATTGCAAGAACAAGGGCCTAGCGAGTGCAAAATTGGAAGAACAAGGGTCTAGCGTGTGCAAAATTTCAAGAACAAGGGCCTAGCGAGTGCAAAATTGCAAGAACAAGGGTCTAGCGTGTGCAAAATAGCAAGAACAAGGGCCTAGCGTATGCAAAATTTCAAGATCAAGGGCCTAGCGAGTGCAAAATTTCAACAACAAGGGCCTAGCGTGTGCAAAATTGCAAGAACAAGGGCCTAGCGTGTGCAAAAATGCAAGAACAAGGGCCTAGCGAGTGCAAAATTGGAAGAACAAGGGGCTAGCGTGTGCAAATTGCAAGAACAAGGGCCTAGCGTGTGCAAAATTTCAAGAACAAGGGCCTAGCGAGTGCAAACTTGGAAGTACAAGTACCTAGCGTGTGCAAAATTGCAAGAACAAGGGCCTAGCATATGCAAAATGTCAAGAACAAGGGCCTGGCGTGTGCAAAATTTCAAGAACAAGGGCCTAGCGGGTGCAAAATTGCAAGAACAAGGGCCTAGCATGTGCAAAATTGCAAGAACAAGGGCATAGCGTGTGCAAAATTGCAAGAACAAGGGCCTAGCGTGTGCATAATTTCAAGAACAAGGGCCTAGCGAGTGCAAAATTGCAAGAACAAGGGCCTAGCGAGTGCAAAATTGGAAGAACAAGTGCCTAGCGTGTGCAAAATTGCAATAACAAGGGCCTTTTGTGTGCAACATTTCAAGAACAAGGGCCTAGCGAGTGCAAAATTGGAAGAACAAGGGCCTAGCGTGTGCAAAATTGCAAGAACAAGGGCCTAGCATGTGCAAAATTGCAAGAACAAGGGCCTAGCGTGTGCAAAATTGCAAGAACAAGGGCCTAGCGTGTGCATAATTTCAAGAACAAGGGCCTAGCGAGTGCAAAATTGGAAGTACAAGTACCTAGCGGGTGCAAAATTGCAAGAACAAGGGCCTAGCGTCTGCAAAATGTCAAGAACAAGGGCCTAGCATGTGCAAAATTTCAAGAACAAGGGCGTAGCGGGTGCAAAATTTCAAGAACAAGGGCCTAGCGTGTGCAAAAGTGCAAGAACAAGGGCATAGCGTGTGCAAAATTGCAAGAACAAGGGCCTAGCGGGTGCATAATTTCAAGAACAAGGGCCTAGCGAGTGCAAAATTGCAAGAACAAGGGCCTAGCGAGTGCAAAATTGGAAGAACAAGTGCCTAGCGTGTGCAAAATTGCAATAACCAGGGCCTTTTGTGTGCAACATTTCAAGAACAAGGGCCTAGCGAGTGCAAAATTGGAAGAACAAGGGCCTAGCGTGTGCAAAATTGCAAGAACAACGGCCTAGCGTGTGCAAAATTGCAAGAACAAGGGCCTAGCGTGTGCAAAATTGCAAGAACAAGGGCCTAGCGTGTGCATAATTTCAAGAACAAGGGCCTAGCGAGTGCAAAATTGCAAGAACAAGGGCATAGCGAGTGCAAAATTGGAAGAACAAGTGCCTAGCGTGTGCAAAATTGCAATAACAAGGGCCTTTTGTGTGCAACATTTCAAGAACAAGGGCCTAGCGAGTGCAAAATTGGAAGAACAAGGGCCTAGCGTGTGCAAAATTGCAAGAACAAGGGCCTAGCATGTGCAAAATTGCAAGAACAAGGGCCTAGCGTGTGCAAAATTGCAAGAACAAGGGCCTAGCGTGTGCATAATTTCAAGAACAAGGGCCTAGCGAGTGCAAAATTGGAAGTACAAGTACCTAGCGGGTGCAAAATTGCAAGAACAAGGGCCTAGCGTGTGCAAAATGTCAAGAACAAGGGCCTAGCATGTGCAAAATTTCAAGAACAAGGGCGTAGCGGGTGCAAATTTTCAAGAACAAGGGCCTAGCGTGTGCAAAAGTGCAAGAACAAGGGCATAGCGTGTGCATAATTTCAAGAACAAGGGCCTAGCGAGTGCAAAATTGCAAGAACAAGGGCCTAGCGAGTGCAAAATTGGAAGAACAAGTGCCTAGCGTGTGCAAAATTGCAATAACAAGGGCCTTTTGTGTGCAACATTTCAAGAACAAGGGCCTAGCGAGTGCAAAATTGGAAGAACAAGGGCCTAGCGAGTGCAAAATTGCAAGAAAAAGGGCCTAGCATGTGCAAAATTGCAAGAACAAGGGCCTAGCGTGTGCAAAATTGCAAGAACAAGGGCCTAGCGTGTGCATAATTTCAAGAACAAGGGCCTAGCGAGTGCAAAATTGGAAGTACAAGTACCTAGCGGGTGCAAAATTGCAAGAACAAGGGCCTAGCGTGTGCAAAATGTCAAGAACAAGGGCCTAGCATGTGCAAAATTTCAAGAACAAGGGCGTAGCGGGTGCAAAATTTCAAGAACAAGGGCCTAGCGTGTGCAAAAGTGCAAGAACAAGGGCATAGCGTGTGCAAAATTGCAAGAACAAGGGCCTAGCGTGTGCATAATTTCAAGAACAAGGGCCTAGCGAGTGCAAAATTGCAAGAACAAGGGCCTAGCGAGTGCAAAATTGGAAGAACAAGTGCCTAGCGTGTGCAAAATTGCAATAACCAGGGCCTTTTGTGTGCAACATTTCAAGAACAAGGGCCTAGCGAGTGCAAAATTGGAAGAACAAGGGCCTAGCGTGTGCAAAATTGCAAGAACAACGGCCTAGCGTGTGCAAAATTGCAAGAACAAGGGCCTAGCGTGTGCAAAATTGCAAGAACAAGGGCCTAGCGTGTGCATAATTTCAAGAACAAGGGCCTAGCGAGTGCAAAATTGCAAGAACAAGGGCATAGCGAGTGCAAAATTGGAAGAACAAGTGCCTAGCGTGTGCAAAATTGCAATAACAAGGGCCTTTCGTGTGCAACATTTCAAGAACAAGGGCCTAGCGTGTGCAAAATTGGAAGAACAGGGGCCTAGCGTGTGCAAAATTGCAAGAACAAGGGCCTAGCGTGTGCAAAATTGGAAGAACAAGGGCCTAGCGTGTGCAAAATTTCAAGAACAAGGGCCTAGCGTGTGCAAAATTTCAAGAACAAGGGCCTAGCGGGTGCAAAAATGCAAGAACAAGGGCCTAGCGAGTGCAAAATTGCAAGAACAAGGGCCTAGCGTGTGCAAAATTTCAAGAACAAGGGCCTAGCGTGTGCAAAATTTCAAGAACAAGGGCATAGCGTGTGCAAAATTGCAAGAACAAGGGCCTAGCGTGCGCAAAATTGCAAGAACAAGGGCATAGCGTGTGCAAAATTGCAAGAACAAGGGCCTAGCGTGTGCATAATTTCAAGAACAAGGGCCTAGCGAGTGCAAAATTACAAGAATAAGGGCCTAGCGAGTGCAAAATTGGAAGAACAAGTGCCTAGCGTGTGCAAAATTGCAATAACCAGGGCCGTTTGTGTGCAACATTTCAAGAATAAGGGCCTAGCGAGTGCAAAATTGGAAGAACAAGGGCCTAGCGTGTGCAAAATTGCAAGAACAACGGCCTAGCGTGTGCAAAATTGCAAGAACAAGGGCCTAGCGTGTGCAAAATTGCAAGAACAAGGGCCTAGCGTGTGCATAATTTCAAGAACAAGGGCCTAGCGAGTGCAAAATTGCAAGAACAAGGGCATAGCGAGTGCAAAATTGGAAGAACAAGTGCCTAGCGTGTGCAAAATTGCAATAACAAGGGCCTTTCGTGTGCAACA